GGTGGTGGTGGTTAGTGATGGTGGTAGTGACGGTGGTGGTGATGGGTGGTAGGTAGTGGTTGTTAGTGGTGGTGGCGAGCGGTGGTGATGGGTGGTGGTGGTAACCGGTGGTGGTGGTTGGGTGGTGAGGTGGTGGGTGGTGGGTGGTGGTGGTTACTGATGGGTGGTGGTAGCGGGTGGTAGTGGTTGTGGTTAGGGGTGACAAGTGGTGGTGGGTAGTTATTGGTGGTGGTGGGTAGTGATGGGTGGTAGGTACTGGTTGTTGGTAGTGGTGGCGGTCGGTGGTGATTGGTGGTGGAGGTGGGTGGTGGCGGTCGATGGTGATGGGTGGTGGAGGTGGTGGTTGGGTGGTGATGGTGGTTGGGTGGTGATGGTGGTTAGGTGGTGGTGGTGGTGGGTGGGTGGTGGGTAGTGATGGTGGTTGGTGGTGGGGGTGGTTGGTGGTGGTGGTTAGTAATGAGTAGTGGTGGCAAGTGGTGATGGGTAGTGATGGGTGGTGGTGATGGGTGGTAGGTAGTGGTTGTGGGTGGTGGTGACAGGCGGTAGTGATGGGTGGTGGTGGTTAGGTGGTGATGGTAGTGGCGGGTGGTGGTTGGTGGTGGTGGTGGTGGGTAGTGATGGGTGGTGTTGGTTGGGTGGTGAGCGGTGTTAGTTAATGAGTTTTTTAATTGTTTGTAACAGTTTTTTAATTTATATGAATATTATTTTATAATTTTAATTAAAAAAATTGTGTAGTCCAAATTTTTTCTCAAATGTTATCGCGATAAGAAATATTCTCAATTGAACGCTCATATATATATATATATATATATATATATATATATATTATATTATATATATATATATATATATATATATATATATATATATATATATATATATATATATATATAAGTGTTCAATCGAAAATACATAAATATGACAATAAATACTGGAACCAATAAAAGCATGACAAAACGTCATAATAATTATTTTAGAGTAAATTACTGAAATCGTCCATGTGATTTGGATAAATTTGTTTGTTTACTCCTTTTTTTAATTACTATAGTCGAACCATTGACATTTATTTTTGTTACTAGTTTAGTCCTTACTACAAATGAAACGAGCATACTATCTTTATTGAAAAGATTTACAAATACCATGTTTTATATCTGCTTTAAGTCAAAATCAAATTAGACCCTAATCTTATACCAACATTATCTTCAAAATCAAACCTCCAAACTGGAAAATAATATCGTTGGCAGACCTGCAATATCAATTCAAGCACTTTACTATTTAATATCAAACCTTGTGATTTAAATCCTATATTCACTGAGAATCACCTAATTGATGAGTTTTGAGCATTCTAACACTCCTATGGTGTAAATGCAACCTTATAAACTTGGATCTATGTTTTCTCTATTATACATGAAAATATTAAATATTCCAAGGTTTCATCCTAACTAGCATATTATGAAGCACCTATACTACAAAGTTCTAGTTAGATGACATAACTTTTGATGTAGCTTGATGTCTTCAAACTTTAAGAGCTTAGCCCCAATAGTGTGGAAGCCTCAAGTAGAATCACAAATCACCAAAACACCTTGGAAAACCTTTTGAGAATATG